TATCTCTATAATGTATACAATTATCTCCATACTCACAGTAATACATTTTCGATAACCAATTGCCGATTATCAATTTGGAACGGACGTTCATCAACATTTATCTCATGGAATGTATTATTGCATTTTTACACCGTTACTGCGTGACTCACTCTTTCTGTGACAATTTTTTTGTGTGTGTGTGTGTGTGCGGTAAGAATACAGAGTATGCTATTCATTAATGTATTAGGTCAAGTAGGGCGTGTTCTTTGACATGGTTGAAAGGGTCAATGAACATCTTATTCTTGACCTACATTCTGAATGAATAATATATACCCGGTAAGCATATTTCTTCCCACTGTACACTACACTACTTCGCGGAAAAAGAATACCCCATTAGCACACAGTCATCACAATTCAGAGGTAAGAAAGTTGCAGAAAAACATTACTTTCAATGAATGTTCGTTTTTGTAGTACATGTACGTTTGGTCATGTTTCGGACGTATGTCTATATTCCTCTTTAGAAAATGCCTGAAGAAAGCCCTCAACGAAATTGAAATTTCGTCTGTATAAAGCTAAAAGTAACGGTATGTCCAATTTGTCTAGTTTCGCACAGTTTAATTTCTTTACTTAACTACAGTTAGATATGAAGGTTGGCTATCATCACGATTTTATACCATAGGTTGTTTATTGAAAATCATGTAAAAGAACCATTGGCATGGGGGGAGTAATGGTCTCACTCTGAGGATAAAAAATTGAAATGTCCATTAATTGGGGGTGTATGGGAGGAAGCCTTATCATCTCCCCCCCCCCCGCCCCTTCCCTTTTATTTTTCCTTTCTCATTTTTTAACTAATTTCCTACTGTTTACGTGTTTGAAAATGAATTCTCACTTGCATAGCTTGTGGCAAATAATTATCTTTGCTTCACGTCATACCTACATTGGATAGTCATTGCATTAGTATAAATAATGAGGACTGCATAGTTTATGCTTCAAAATTGTATTTTCGAGATAAGCTTTTAACCTTTTAGTGCAAACATTCCTAATTTTGTCTTCATTTGTTGATTAATGCCCCGTCAATATATTTTTTTTAATGTATTAGTGCATTTAAGAACTGTGATCAAACGATAGTAATATTAATTGATGTTGAAATGTTGAAATTCCTGTCAGGCCAAAATATAGATAGAGAGAGGGGGAACTGGGAAGTGGGTTAGAGAGAAAAGGAGAGTAAAGGGGCTTTTAAGTCAAATAATCCTCCTAAGAAAAAAATAGAGATTGCCCCCCCCCCCAACCCCAGCTGTTGCACTTTTCAGGGCCAGACTACACCTCTGGTTAAAGCGTAAACTATCTTTCATCTCTTCCAGGTGACAGAGAGGTTGGTACTTCCTACATCCAGTGGAAAAGGTGAGGAGTATTACTTTAAATTACACTAAACTCATATCACATCTCAAATCTAATAATATTATACGATTATTACCAAAAGGTATCATTTACAAAGATTTTGTTTTATATTCCTGTTCTTTCTTTTTTTAAAGTCGCGTTTTCTAAGAGCAATCAAACGCTAATTTCAATATTTGTTTTGACAATTGCATAAAGTATCTCCTGTAAATAGAGCGCACCTAGACGGCACGTTTCCGCTCCAAGCACTGATCCAAATTCGAGACGAGATCGTATTATCAGCTCAGGTGACTTCGCAAAATTTTCAAAAAGGTGAATCTTTTTTTCTTTATTCAATATGAGTAATATAATATCGTTTTTGCTGAATGCTTTTCCTTGTCATAGAGTTGTAAAAAGGTGTGGACTCAGGGAAGACAAAGGATAAAGTTATTGAGAAAAGGAAAAACAAAATGTACGGATGAAGAACAATTGAGGGAATGGAGGTATAAAAAAAGAGGAAAACTTGTAGAAAAGAAGAAGGGAGGAGAAATTAGGGGACAAAATAATATTAATAATAGTAAGAAAATAAATTTCACCACCATGTGACGGGCCTTATTTATTATGTAATGACATAAGTTATATACAATAAAATATATCGATTTTGATATAAATATTGTATCACCATTGTTATTACGATGTTTTGAATTGAAAAACGAAAATATGAAAAATATGATCAAGAGAAATGGAATGTATTGTAAATATGAAATGTAGAAGGGAGCCTCCTTTAACATATTCATGGTTATATGTGAATGTACAGGTTAAAGATTTTGAATTAAATGCTTTCTTTTTTAAAACCCAGATTAGTTTCGAAAACATTTATGACTTTACGAATACTAGTTGTGTGTGAAAGAAAGTATATTTAGTTTGTTGTTTTGAATTTTGAATTTAATCTTTTGGAAGTTCTGGAAATTACAATATCATAAATATAATTATTTTCATCATCATCATCATGATCATAATTATCTCCAAGCACTCCACAATATCCGGCGCTCGATGAAAAAAGTTGATTAAATCTACAATCAAAATTAATATATCATATTTTATTACATCAATATCACACATATTTTGTCCCACAATATAAGAATGATACTCCACAACATGATGCTTGTATATACATAGCAACCATTGATTACAACTGTTCACACGTTTAGAAATAACATATTTTACACTCCCATGTGTGCTATTAGATGACTAACGATATTTTCAAAAATAATTTGTTTGAGAGTGTAACAGTGCCGTAAGGAAATGGAGCCATTGAGTTCTATAGATAACTCCTATATAATATTCATGTTAGTTAAATCTATTTAAAAAATGACACTATATTACTGCATGATGAATATGTTTTCTATAAATAAATAGGGGGCATGGGAGGGTTACTGGCTGTTTGAAAATCATAAATATTTACCTACCAAAATTGGGGAATCCATTCGGCAGCTTGGAGAGGACTACAATGTGTTTAAATCGCATGTGTATTCTCGACAGTGTATTTATTCTACATACACATACATGGTACGTCAAATAATTTGATCATTTTCACTATGAATTATTCACAATATTTCCAGATATCTACAAAATGTACATAATATATTATTTCGATTACTCTCTCGGCGTTTGGCAAATATTAATACAATGACCTGATGATATAAGATCTTCATAATATGACTGCATTGTTTTTGTTCTAGACAAAGATGATGAGAGCTATATTAAGGACGATAACCCTATTTGATGTAATTTTAGTTCACGCCATTCTCACTCTCAAAAGAAGTACAAAAGAGTTTTCTGCAGTAGGACAGGATAGATATAGGACATGACGCATTATTTATCAAATTGTTTATCTTAGCCCCTGTCTCAATTTGAATACATCTCTGCTTAACTTCTTCATGCGTTCAATCTTTCCTGAGGATATCACATAGCATAATTATAATCAAAAGCATGAAAGTGAGATAAAAAATGATTTGAATAACAGAAATATAAAATGCATTGTTTTAGGAAGAATAACAATCGGGTCACACAAGTCTCACATACGTATGATATGGATCTTTTCTTAACAAAAAGTAGGTCATGCACGTCAATATGACCCCCTATTACAAATGTACTTGTTTAAAAAAAAATACACACCATCTTCACCAGTTTTTAGCGTAAATACCCATAATTAAAGGGATTAAACATTAAGAAAACAACTGAGGGGCACTTTTGCATTTCGATAATAGTAAAGGAAACTGAGAAACAATTCTGTACTTGTTTGACCGTAAAATAATGAAATAATATGAGGTACATACTTGATACATTGTCAGACATGACAGTTGCGATCGGTTGGAGCCAAGACAAAGAATGGACGGCATCCAAACCAATCAACAACTTTCCTACGACAAATTTATATCTCAATAATAATTAGTCGGCCACTAAACATGTTAAGCTGAAATTAGTACGACACTTATTCGACCAGCAAACAGAGAAAACTAGATGAAGAGTTCTTACTGCTATGTAGGGGTGAAGAATATTTGATGACGAATCCTTCAAATCGAAATTAAATCAATAATGTTGGTCGTAAAAAGTATAGATTGATTAAACACAAGAAATCAAAACATTAATATATAATAGGCCGTAAAGACAACAGTTGCTGGATGAGAGAGAAAGGGCAATCACGTCAACCATGATAATTGAGTGAGCACTGGCAATACTTTGTCGCAAAAAGGTATGACAGACTAATTGTAATGATACTGTAAGACAGTGTGTGTAAGGTGGCAAAAATTCATTACACATGAGGTATTTTGTTCGGGAGTCACCTATTCGCAGTGGATTGGATGACGACGCATTCGTACATCTGTTCCATATCATACTTCATTCCTCTATGCCTAGTATCAATTAAATCACCGGATTGCCGAAATTTGTAACGGAAAGGCTTTCACATTTCCTTCTGATTTAAAATCTCGAGATTGACGAGATTAGCGGGCATGTGGGAATCTCGGCGAACATAATTTACGCTCCACAGATTTTAGTTTTGTTCTTCTTTATTTTGTATAGATCATCGTCGTCTCTCATTTGAATGCAGATTAAGAAATACAATATTTCATCTCAAGATAATGGTTAATCCTCTCCTAAAAAAGATTGATTTAATGGGTTATCGAGAAAATATGATCCCAGCTTACACATCTGCTGAGAGCCAAAGGGCGTTAACTCACATTTGTTCATGCTAGGTTAATGTCCTTCTGATTGTCAATCAACAACTGGTTTGTCTTATCTCATGCCACTTTCTTTGTTCATCACTCTCCTCCTTTCCTTAATAATTCTTAGTCATTCTTATTCATTCTTATGATCAATTTAAAATATCGTCTTTAGATACTTTTGTTTGTTGCAATTGTCTCTTCTGTCCTTCATTGTGGTTACGCACACGATCAAAATCATCATTTCTACCTCGGGTAGATCTTGGGCACTTTGCTGGCATTTCTGCGGCAGTGATGGAGATTTTACTATCTTTGTGTAAGATTTTGACAAACGTGTATGTATCCTTGCTTCAAAGGGTTGATCCTTCAACAAACCCCAATATCGATGTGTTATGCATTCCACTAACAATTCGCTTGTTCCTTCAGCCGTCAACACACAATAGTTATTGAATATAATATACTTCTATTATCATAATTATATTCTCCGAGATTTAGGTGGTCTCTGCTGTATGTATGTTAATGTGTCAACGAATCCCCATCAGAATCACTTGTGTAGTCCGATCTACTGCAATCCCCGCTGGCATTCATGAGCTTCGTGTCCATATCGTCTCCATCCAAAGGTACCGTCGAATGGTTGTAAAGACCCTGTGCCATCAGTTGTCTGGCCAAACCATTCTTGAGTCCAGTGGCCTTCTTGATTTTGGCTCGCTTGTTCTGGAACCAGATTTTGATCTGGGATTCGCTCAGTGTGAGTTCTTTGGCCAGGGCCCTTCGACGTTGTTCGGTCAGGTAGTTGCTCTGTTGAAACTCTTGCTTCAGTCTCTGGAGTTGGGACGCGCTGAAGGCAGTGCGAGGGCGCTTCTCATCGGCTTTCTTTTCCCGCCGTTTCACCTTGCGTGTCCGAGGTCCTGTGGTAACAACAACAAAAAGCAAAGGTTTTGGTTAGCACAAAAACAAATCAGTATATCACTAGATGAACGATTGCATTACATTTCATTGAAATACATCTGAACTACTCTAAAAATCACTTATTGGGGCAACAATAATGACTTATTTCTTCTTTTTAAAGATATATTCTGCATTTTCAATAATTTTCAAGCGTAAAATAGGTAGAGAACAAGAATGTAAGGTTTTTCGGAAGAGACAAATTTTAAGATAATTCATTCCGTTCAATTCCAAGTTTATGAATATAAGCAATATCTAGATACTAAACTTTCCAAATGATAACAATACAATAAAGCCCCCAGTCGACAAAAACCCGGCACATTACAACATTCCATCGCAAAAGAGTCAAAGTTACTGCCCGGGAACTTTGGCATGCGGTTGCTCTCTCCCTTTTAATGGAACTAGTCATAGGAACAATAAAACTTTTGACGGATGATGTTAATGACACTTTAATTGACGATAAAACGATGTAGTACTTCTTGTCACTTAGTGCATGAACTCTGCTCTCTATGTAGACAGGCCAGACACAGAAGGCAAATTTCATGCCTGTGGCGTCCTCAAATGATTTCAGATAGTCATTGATAAATAAAATGAATACTATTAAAACAATCACAACTCATTCACTTTCCGGGCACCTATGAAAATCAAACAGAAATCGGGCATATCATTTGTTTCTACTTCTTGGAGATACCTAAAAACTGAACTTAAAAGTATGAGCCTAAACAGGTTTATAGCAGCGCCACAAATCCAAACTCCAAAAATGAGCAAATTTGCAGTCTGGACGAGAAGGGGGCAGGGTTGAACTTCAAGAGGGGCAAATATTTAAAAAAAGAAAAAACGTTAAGAAAAGAACTGGTGTGGATAATAATTACGACCATTGTTTATAATTAGTAAGACAAATCATGGAGTCACATTTTATCTGTGTTATCCTGAACGACAATGTGAAATTGTTCTTTGCTTTTCACAAAATCAGCCAAGCATTCAACTTCTCTTTTATTATTTTGACAGGATATCATGCAACCTGACGCTCTTGAATATTGCATTTTCGATGTTCTAAATGTTATAAAAGCACCAAACACGATCGATGTTTCGCTAAACCTTAATAAATACAATTTTAGAGGTCAATATTGGGAGACATGTTGTGCATAATGACATTCACCTTGGAAGAGTATCTGGAAACAGGTGAAAAGGGAATTTGATTTAATATATTACGCTTTTATTCTAGATAATTATTGAATGTTTCAACACGAAACATTTGATATACACAGATGTCTATTTCGGTAGGAAAATGTGCGAATTCATGTCCGCAACTTAACTGTATTTTAAACCATTCTTTAAACTCTCTTCAATAAAGTTGTATCATTTTCATCTGCTTTTTTGATGAAGCTAATCAGAAATGTGTCATCTTATTTTCTGGGATACCAGTAACACCTTAAAAATGAATCTTTGTTGAATGATGATAAAATTGAGTTTAAAAATAGCAGACGTTTTAAATAGGTCCTCGGAGTAAGTACTTGTACTTTTATTTCGCCAAACGTACTTTCCATTCTTAAAGGTATTGAAATGGTTAATATTACGACAAGGAAAACGGTTAACATAATAAGTTAAGAGTTAATTAGTTACATTTTATCTGTTTGAACAAATTAGCGGTCCTTACAAGATCATGAGTGTACATAATACATTTTAAAAAGAAGATAGTCTCAGGCGGATAGATTTTCATGATTGTTTATATTCATAACTGTAAAGAAAATTGTGACGTGCCATAATCATTATTTGAAGCACGAGTATTATACACACGAATCTGAGCAATTACTCAAAGACGTCATAATCAGAAGCTTATCGTTTTCAAAGTAATTGTGTAAATCTTGTTTGTCAGTCGTTAACGTGCTATGGAGTGGCGGTATTCTGTCTCCTTCTTGCCTCGATTGTATAAAAGAGAGGCAAAGTGATTTGCGGATTATGATAAATGAAGCTCCGATCTCCTCCCTCGAGACTCGTCGAAGAAGATTTATTCTGGCGTGCAAGATACACCGATGTGTCCCAACAGGCCTTGAGTGCACTCATTATGTTAAACAGCCTTACATTCGCCCTTGTTACTCATTGCGAGCAGTGTTTAAACTTTTCATTATTCATGTGGCGTGTGAGTGGTGGGGATAAACCCCAGCTAGGATGTCTTCCAGCTTCATTGACCAAGTCGCGCATGACGGTGATAATGACGAGGGTGCGAAACGCACGTCCCTTCTTCGAGTGAAGCAACGGTGATTTTCGTTTTCTCTTAGGTCCCATGGCGTCGGAAGCGAGGAGGCGGCACGGGTGAAGACTACCCTTTCCGCTATTCCTTGGTGCGATGCTTCCCAACTCGTAATGGAGCCTGGGGTTAGGTTAATGAGGCGAAGCGGCGCGCGCGCTCTGCGACTTCACACCTCCGCGCGACTACAGATTGGCCACTTTATCGCCGAGATTGCCCCCTCTAGGCTCCTATTACCAGGCGTGTGTTGCAACTCATTATCGTCTTATACCATGCTTTGCTATAGCTGCTCGTAATTGGCGAGGAAGCGCGATGACGGGGGAGTGAGTCTATAATGACCCTAAACGCCAATCGAGACACGTAAATGATATCTTTGTGATTGCGATATTGAGACGTCGTTGCCAATACGAAAATCATTTGAAAGTCATTACAAGGGCTTATCGGTGTGTCTATGCAAGATGCACCTCGGGCTCAACGCAAGCGTCCCGCGGGAGAGGCCAATCTTGATAGATAATAACCCAGATGCGATATCACCCGAACAGAAATGAATTCAATTCGCAGAGATCGGCGAGCATTTTCACACCACAGGCAGTTGAAGCGCAAGATGTCTTTCCCCCATCTCTACCCCAGCCTTCCAGAAACCAACGCTGACAAACACAACGTTGGTTATACATTGAATGACTCTTCAGAGACCCCATCCGAAAGATCTTCCACATCTGTTGCGATGACATTTTGACGACGTTCATTATCATGCCCAACCTTGCCCGTGCCCGCGAAAAAGACATCGACAATGTGAAAAAAACTGAAAAGTTCATCATCAGCATATGTCGCTTAATGAGAGGAGAATAGTAATGATTATTAACCATTAAGGTAACCATTCATCTGGATAGACAATTCCATTTGAGGGGAAGTCTTCTGGGGGTCGTTAATGGATCATTCTCCTAGAGTACGACAGAGAGGTTAATCACTGATCAACGTCACAAGTCCTATTCCATCTTCTCTCCACAACCAAACCGCGAGAAGCGATACCCCTTCTTGCACAATCACGGCTCTTTTATTTCAAATAAATCATCTTTCTTTTCCAGACGCAGATCTAATAATTCATTCTGATATTTCCTTACCCATAATTTTACCCTCGGGTGTATAATCATTATTTTGACTAGGACTGTGGATTGCAGTGGCACTATAGCGCTACTCTATGAAGAGCATTACGCCATGCAAGCATTCAGATTCACAATTTAATGGTTCGCAGTGTATTGACTTTGAAATCTAACAAAAAATAAAGTTGACATGAAATTATATAATATTCTGGTACGAATGACTTAGATGGGTCGAAAGGAATTAAATTTGTGGGACCTTGAACTTGATTTCTTCAGAAAGTCTACTTAATTTAAACAAAATGGGCTTTAATAATCGTGTGTATAACGTATTATCTAAATACCAGCTGTCAACCATTAACCTTTTTTTTGTTCATGTTGTTAGATCTTAATCTAGAGAAATCTATTTTCAAAGCATTTACAAACGTAATTATTGAAATATAAACTTTGTCCAAATCGTTTTAAAACTGTATTTTGTTTATGAGCTGCTTCCAGGATTTAATAGATATGTCCGACTTTCACATCTTCTGTAGATGTCTGTAACGCTTTTTAGGAAGTTTTTACGAAAAATTATGGACCAAAGTTAAATTAAAGATTTACAATAAAAAAGAGCAATTCAAATGTAATTTGCTTGTACTTTCCAGAAAAGAAAAAAAAAGCATCCACAAAGCCTTTACTTACTAGTTGACACGTTCATCGTATTCCTTAAATTTGTCAAGTGTTATGAAACAATACTATGAAATTCCTTGAACAGCACATTGTTCCCCGTAATTATCTAGGGATTTAATCGAACTGATATATTAATCTAATTCATTCAAAATAAAGTATACTGCGACATTTTATTTCTTTACAGAAAGGCCTGAAAAGCACTCGAGATCTAGGTTTATCACAAATCCATTTGTAAGCCGGACGACATCAAAGCAAATAAAACCGTCACCGTCACTTTACCACGATACCTTCATCCAACGTTTGTTTGTTGTTATTTTTTTCTTTGAAATGCCCATTTTATTGAGTATAAATCAAGAGTGGGCCACTTAGAATGCGGGAAGAATTGCTTTGTCATACTTTCTGGATGAGCGACGGAGCGCGACCGGGGCGCGTCGAATTTCATTCGTGCGCGTGCACACACGTGGCGAAGATGCGATGTGTATGGACGGGCGCGCGTTCTGGCACACGCCACTAGCACTGCAGGCTACACGGCTTAATGTCAGCGCGGACAAAGAGATAATATACGTGCGTTGGGGTTAAATGACAAAGAAACGAGCAAATAATGGACCAGACGTGTTTAAGATAGCATTTTTATCCCTTATACTGCGAAGAAGATCCGATGAGTTAAACTTAAAGGAAAGTTCTTTGCAAACATCTTCTTTTAGTCTTACACGATTCATCTTAATTTATCATTCAGACTTTTGATATGCATTATTTCGTTCGAGGCATTTTATTTAATCTTTTGAAGATGCACTCTCATTTGGTAGTCGGTAGAAATATGATATTAACTTTGGATAAATAGTCTTTATCCAAAGACGTAGTGTAATATGAAGCCATTAGTTTTCGTAGGTCCCACCAAGTCAACGAAGAATAGGCTTGCTTGTGTTGACGATCTATTTTTTTTTAAATA